ATGATGATGATGATGATGATGATGATGATGATGATGATGATGATGATCAAGTTTGTGGAGATAACGCTGAAGGTTAGGAACCAACTGATGACCTTTGATGAGGGCAGATATTTTGTGACCGGTACGTTGCCGCTTGCATGGGTCGTGCGCTCAGCCTGACAGTGACAAAGCAAACAAAAAAGAAGGGTAATCAGTCAAAACATGTTGAAGGACACAAGCGAACCGACCAACCAAAACTTTACCAACCAAACCAGTTTCTCTTCCCATGAATATGAATGAGCGCGCCAAGATGGCATGACCAAATTTTACCAAATGAAAACTGGACACGTCACAACCGTTGCAAATTGTGTTTTTTCTAGTGGATTTGCTTGGCACAAGCAAAGATACATGCACAAGCGGTGAATGTCATGTTGTTTGGAAAAATGTGTACGTTCAACAAACCCACCAAAGCCGGGTGCACCACAAAAGGTGTTGTTTTTTGTTGGGCAGCGGCTCATCCCACGGGCTATCTGAACCGCAATGCAATTCAAATCAAGCCAGTTGCAACTGGCAAACAGCAGTTGCCTCTCACATGTCTGCACACCAAAAGCGTGAGCAAGTACTCTCCAAAGCTCGTTTTTCACGTTTGAAACTTTTCACATCAACAACAACTCGCACTTCCTCGTGCCCTCTTTACTTCCATGTCAGCCAAAATAACAGTCATTCAAGTCACAGAAGGCTTTCAAAACTTCAAGGTTCTGACTACAGTTCGCGGTCGAGTTCCTTCACTCTCAGAACAATCCAAACAACACAAAACCAAACAAATCAACAAGTACGAGCAAGGTGGCCGTCCAACAAGTGGATTTTTTCACCTTCTGAAAAGGAACAACAGGCTGACATCATCAAAACTTATTTTCCTCAATGAGAACCTTCTTCACGTTGTAGTCTGTCAGCCCACCATCAAGCAGAAATGCAGCTGCCTTGAAAGAAGGAAAGTGCCCCATTTCGCCAAAAGGCCGTGCAAGCGTCAAGCCTCAAGTTTCGCCGTTCAAGGAGTATGTAAAAGAAAGCCACGTGGACAAACTTTACCCGTAACTCTTTCTTTGTGAAAACACGGTCGCGGCTCCTTGAGCCAAAGTCACAGTCGGCTTAGACTGCCTCAAAGGTTCTCAAAGATTTTCCAAAGCTTGTCAGCTCTTCTTAAAAGAGTCAAGAGTCAAGACTGTTCACAGTCATCTCAAACCTACACCAAACTAAAGAAAACTATCTCAAACAGTCTCCATGTACACGCAGTACTACCAAAAGGTTCTCTAGGCTTCTCCTAGCCACGTCTAGCCACACCAAACCTTCTAAAAGGTTATCCCGCCAAGTAGGTCAAAGCAAATCACCAACAAAGGACCACAAACCACAGTCAGCTCCAATCCCAAGTCATCAAAAACGAAAATCTACTTAAGAAACAGGCACTAGGTGATCTACACCCTGTACAAACAGGCTACGCACTAGCTTTCACACCCCTTCTTGGGTCACATGGCGCCGCCTTCTGCCTCTCTTCTTTTTCTTCTTCTTCTTCTTCTTCCTCCTCTTCTCTTCTTCTCCCTTTCGTTCTCTTTGGACAACTAAGGATCAGACAACAACTAGATCCATACACCGGTCCTCAAAGGTGATCACTCGAGTCCAGCTCACGCAAAACAAAGAATCAAGCTCGACCAACAACAAGCACGCAGACAACCAAGAAAGCAAACAAAAGAAGGATCCCTCAGAGACCAGCCATGAGATCTCAGGGTCTGATCCCATCTGCATGGCCTTCAATGTCTCATCATTGGGATCCTCGAAAGCAAAGCTTTCAAGCACAACATACCTGTCAGCTCAGAAAAAATTAACTAGGGTTATATACCACGCCGTGCAAACATCTATCCAAAAGACCTGACAAGTGCACAAAGTGACACGCAACTGCAAATGAAAGCACAAGAAACTCTCTAGAAGTTAAACTTGCAATGATGTTGACTGCAACTGCGTGACAAAAAGCTGAACTTGCAACACCACAGCAAATCCCTGATCTAGAATTACAACCCTCTTGCGCTGATCTCTTAACCCTGGTCGTGGCTGTTCATCAAACCCTCATCGATGCTCTTCAAACCCTTGGTCATACACTGCATAGCAACCCCTGTGTCTGATTTGCCTGCCATTCTGCGATTTCATCTTTCTTTCTCATGCTTCTAATCCCTTTGAACAAGAAACAAAAGAGAATGTAAAGCCTCGTTTGACTAGCCTGACGATCCAAACCTGACAAGATCAAGTTCAATCCAATATCATGCCAATCCAACTTCAAGCCAATCCAATCTCCATGTCTCATCAAGCAAGGTTCAAATGCGAAGCAAACAAGAAACTGTGTTCTATAAACCTCCTGTTTTTGCAAAGGCTAGCGTGAGCAGTGCAAATCACCTTCCATTAGTGGCTTACGCGCCCATGGCGGTGATATTCAGGATCTCTCAGGATCGCTCAAGATTCACACAGACGGCGGCGTCTCGAAGAGACAATCTCACTCGTTTGAATCCAAGCGGAACAGGGGACATAGGCTCACCTTGCCCTCCAGATCCAAGTGGAACACTTGTGTACCCTGGCAGTACACCCGTGCCCAACGTGGCACATGGCGCTGCAATCCCTGAAGAAGCCATTCCGGTAGAAGCCATTCCCGGCACGCTAGGTTGTACCGGAACACTCGTTCCAGGGAACATGTGTTGACCCATCTTCACAGGAGGAGCTTCCTTCGCTGTTGCCGCAGGAGCAATTGGAGCAATAGGCGTCATCGGGTCATCGGTGTCTTAGGAGTTCCCGCCAATGGAGCACCGGATACCGCTTCAATCAATTTGTTGAGCAGATTCATCTTCTTTGGCGTTCTGATTCATCTCCTTGGCGTCCGCATTCAAAGATTACAGGATAGCAGCCTGAATGCGGGAAATTCACTCATGTCAGTGATCAACTTCCCAAGCACGATCATGGATTCCTTCATGCTGGTATACGACTGCCTTCCACTCCCTGACAGTTGCCAGCGCACGTCACTATATAACTATGCGAGCCAACTCCTTGACCACTCCCAATCCTGGAGTCAAATCCTGGGACTTGACATGGGCTGATGAGGCAAGCAATGCCTCACTTATCCTCACCAGACTGTCATATTGCTTCTGCAATTTACCATCAAGGTCTGCTCTGCTCTTGTCCATGTTCTCGGAGTACTCGGCAACCTGCCTCAATGCGTTTGACAATCCCCCGAACTTGTTCACAGCCCACAGCAGGGTGTCAAGCACACTTTACATCTTGATCTCACCAGCCACTGCTGGACAAGCATCAGTGGCTTCGGTGTCAGACCGAGAATCATCCGGCTCTCGAGCCGCAAGTTGTCCTACTTTCTCGAAGTAAGACCATGCGTAAACACAGCCGCCTGAGGCCAGCAATGGCAACAGTTCTTCCAATTCCCCAATTTTGGCTTTCAATGCCACAAGGTTCAAAACCACATATGCTTGAATCCCTGGCACGTCTGACCTCAGGACAAGCTGGTCCGCTTCCTTGCTCTTCGAGTTCCAATGGATGGACATGGATCTTGAGCTGGTGCAACAACATCATCACATTGGAGTTCGCGGCGTGCCACCTCGAGGCTTCGTTCCTAAACTGGTTCACTGATGTTGTTCGACAAACACCCTGGCATCTCAGCATTGTCAAGGTTAAGGGCCTTCAACTCTTCAACCCCAACCTCTGCCAACTCTCGGCCTGGAAACAGGCATGCTGCGATCACATTGGTCGCCGTCGAAGCGCTCGCCCTTTCCAAAATGGGAAAATCACAGGAGACAACCCCAAACACGAGCAACCATTTCAGTATCAACAACTCTGCTCTTCGGGGGGTCCGGGGGCGACTCTGACCCGGATGAGTCCTGATCTGCAGCTTGCAAGAGCTGTCGGGCACGTGCCTGGGAGTCATCTGGTTGCCCACCTGTTGAATCCCTTTGGGGCTGCTCTGGAAACAGCTCCGTGGAACGTATGGGAGTAGAGCGCCATTTCACGCCTACGAGACCCATGCTATACCCCGAAAACGTGCACCCTCCTATGGGTTTCCAAGTATCATGGGACCATGCCGATGGAAGGTGCGGCATACCTAGGATGGCTATTGGGAGCGTTTCCCACTCGAAGGGCGTCTTGTGCACCTGCTTTGGCTTTACCGAAGGCATGAAAGATTACCGGCCTCATTCTGTCTCTTTGAATTTTGCTGGCTTGGAAAAGATGCTCTCCAGGAAGCGAGGCGACCCGACAGGGGCCCTCGAGGTGCGGCAAAATTGAAAGACACCCTTGTTCAAAGGTCGGCTTAGCCCAGCTAGTGAGCCATGGGGTACTCAGTTTGCCATTTTCTGTAAGGGCTTGGGGGTGAGCCTTCTTCGGCCAGGTGATGACGCTTGTATTGTTGGCCTGATCCGACGATGGCAATGCAGGGCGTGGCCAA